TGTTCTTATGGTTACTGCAAAATGATAACCACTTATATGAGGGAACAATCGTTTTTATTTACTAAAAGCAAACAGGCTGTTCACTTTGCAAGTGAATTTGCACTTTGGAAGGGAATTCTTTCCTTAGCTTAGTGAATGAGGTAAAGCTCTTCTGACTTCCATTATCCGATCATGTTTAAACAAAACTACTGTTTATTTCCTTGCACTTCCTTGACTGGATGTCCACCAGCAGCTCCAACAGGATAGATAATAGAAGAAAAATGAATGCAGAGAAGGGAGAAATGCTGCGTTATTGTGGACAGACGTAATGTGAGTACCAGTAAATAAATTCAGGAAAGAGCAGTCAGATTTGAGACCCCTGACCTCACAGGACTACTCCATAGTCCAAGCCGTTTCGTATTCAACACTTGCATAACACAAAGTGATAAACAGCACTACATTGAGGCAACTAAATCATACATTATATGGTACTTAGGCAACAATACTGTGCACTCCAGTTTAATAGATGATGGCCTCTCTCCAGAAACAGCGGACAGATGACAGTCTATGTGAATAACCCAGGGCACTTCTGCATACTTAAAGGGAACAAAAAGTGATCACCATGGCCATATGGTCAAATATGCAAACCAGCACATCATGCAAAACATGTGCACAAAAAAATAATACAATATAGAATGCCACATAAATGCACACAATAATAAAATCCAGCATTTCACACAAACACACACAGTAATAGAATAAAATACATTATACACAAACAACAAGATCCAACACATCAAATGCACACATATATTAACACAAACCAGCACACATACACAACAATGCAATCCTGCAAATCACACACATTCACACAACATGACAAGCGCGAATACCACACACATTTTAACATATTACCCACCCAGTAATACAACCCAGTACATCACACATGCACACACACATCCAGAACAAACCACAATCCAGCACATTAAACATATATACAATAATACAATTAAGTACCTCAACCACACAAAATCTAGCACGTCACACCCAACAAAATTCGGCATGCTATAGGCACATTTATCCAGAACAGTATATGGACAACACATGCAATAATACAAATACGCTTTCTCCCTATTCCTCTCCCACCTCTCCTTCCTGCTGCACAAAGGAGGAGAAGGAACGCTCAAACATCACAGGGTGTACTGTGATCCCAATCACGTTTCTGGTTGACAGAGCTAATAGCCATTCAGAAGCTAAGGGTAGGTTTACAGTACAAACTGGTAGCCCAACAAATGGCTGAAACTCCCTTGGTCCTATATGCATTTAAAGCAGTGTCTGCCACAGGCTGAATAGGTATACCACTGCACTCCTTACTGGTAAACCCCTTGAGTTGGTGCTGATGCTGAAATGAATGTGAATGACGCCACTCCGATCAACATAGAAAACAAGATGTCACCAGCACACCAAACATTCTGTGTGCTGGTGACATCTTGAGGGGAATTTATGAAAACAGGAGCAGGATAAATCTTGAACAGTTGCCCATGGCAACCGATCAGCTTCTCTCTTTCATTTTTAAAGCCAAACTGAACAAACTGAAAAAAGTAGATTGGTTACCATGCACAGCTGCTCCAGATTTTGTCTGCTCCAGTTGTGATAAATTCTCCCCATTGTGTTTTGGACCAGGATTTAAACCAAGGACCCCAGTTCTGCGAGACTAAAGTGCTTAACAGTATGCCACTGTGATGCCCACTAAACCATGGTATAGTCAAAAAGCCTGAAACAGCTGTATTTAGTTTGCAATACGTGGCTATATTATATTAGGCTGTATCTGTACTATACACCAGCAGTTCTTGATGTACAGTTGACCATTTGGATAAGAATGAATAATCTGCATGGCACCGCCCACTATCTTGAATGAGGAATAATCCTCTTATTTGTGTGATTTGTGATGGAATACCTTCTGTTCTAAGAAGGCTCTAGTGTGCTATTTGTATGTAATGAGTTGCACTGCTGTTCACTTGGTCATTTATTGTTCATCATTCTGACAACACAGCGGGTGAGATTTATCAACTTAGCCACACAACAGTGATACATTTTATGAGATAGAGTTACTACAAAATCACAGCTTCATTCATAAATTCCCCCCCCCTCTGATGCTCAAAGGAGCAATATGCCAATTTAAAACATGGCTCTGACCACCACTTAGGTTGAATGAAAAATTGTTGCAGGCACAATTATAAATCTGTTAGACATTTATGTAAAACTAAGAGCCAGTTTTTCAACACTGCAAGCACGGGAGTCACAAGGACACAGAAATCTTTGCTGAAAGGCCCTACCTTTAAAGTGCATCGTAACCCAAATATACTGCATTCGTTTTCTTTTTTTTCTGGCTTTTATTTTACCTGAAAATCCTGCTCTAGATGACAATGCTCCCTCACCATACTATATCTAGGGAGAAGCGGTGTTGTCACCTTAAAACAGGACTAGAGAAAACCTCTCCCTCCTTTTCTCCAGAGGTGTTGTGTAGCCTGCAGAAAAAGCTGGGAACAGTCTTAACTGATAGGAGTGCAGTGCACATAGAGAGCACAGGAAGCTATTGACAGACAATTCTTGTTGTCCGTTTACAGCATACATGTATTAAAACATTGCATTCATTACATTTGAAAATGAACATGCCAAAGCAAGGGCAATTTAACCTGAGCACCTAAAGGAAAATGTACATAATCAGAGGTTCCAAAAACACAATATGATCAGTAGGTTCAGAGATACAGGAAGTTAAATGCATGTGTCAATCTTTCCAGTATGGCCCCAACCTTCCTGTCTCCTAAATCTCCCTTTTGGTCTTTTATTGGTGGGTGGCCTCACTGACCAACAGGGAGGTTTAGTAAGTAGGGGGCGAAGACAAACTTTTATAGGTACAGGCAAGATTTCTACGTGATTTCAGCTACCTGCATATCTGGATCTACCAACTATCTTGAAAATGTGGTTTTACTGAAAGTTACATCTGCTTCTGCATTTTTATTATCATACGATAAGTTTGATTGTCCTGGCTTGTGCCACTTCTACTTTAGATAGGCCTCTGTAATGACTCTCTGTCTACAATAAACAATGTTGCATATTCAGGTGAACAGTATGTGATAGGAGGACATTTAAATATAGAATGTCACATTTCGTAAGGGACTGGGTGTATGCTTTAAACTGAGATTACAACATTTTTTGCACGCAGGTTTCCTAACTCAAAGCAGCTGGGGTTCTCAATCACATCTGGAATTTCAAGGTCAAAGTATAACCATGAGGGCCCACAAGCTCCCCTATGAGATATAAGTGAGAGAGTTTTTGTAAAATTACAAGCCTGCAAATCTATGCTCCCCAAGGTACCAGATATGCTGCACTGTTGTCAGCAAGGAATTACAGTATCCTGAATCTGGAGCTATTTAATTTTCTGGCGTTAGTGGAGGCAGTGAAGAAGTGTTTTGTCCTTCCGTGACTTAAGTATTCTGTTTTGGATCCATGTCTCCTGTGCATAACCTTGTTCCACAATGTCTCAAGAAATTGAAATCTTTCTCAATTATAATTAAAAAAAACACTGCTGATTTAATGGCCTTGCCTTTAAACATAATATTTCTTTTTTGTAAACGCTGTTGTTGTATATAGTGATCCTGTCCCTCCGGAGTGAAAAAATTATTTTCATTTAAGAATTGGATACAATTTCTGTTTGCTTCTTCAATCGTTACTATGCTAAATCCCCCCTGGAGTCTTCTATTTCAGCTAGAACAATTTCTGCATCTTAAACATGCTCATCTTTGTCCATTTCCTTGGCAACAATTGAGGTAAGATTACTGCAATTTTAACATTCAGTCTAAATACTAGGTGTTCACACAAGGACAGACGAAAACAGTGTGGCATACATTTAATATAATGGTTAAAATATGGTAAGCAACATGCCAGCTGAGAGCTATTATTACAACTATAACAGCTTTGGAAAGAAGAGAACATAATAACAAAAGGTGGTTCTAAATATTAGGCCTCGTTCACACGGACACGCGTAGCCATACAGCGTGCATGTTCCTGCAGAGACCAGCGCTCGGGAGGGATAAGTGCTGCGTGTAGCCGGGTACAGCCTGAATCTCTATGACAGGAGGCGGACATATGCCGATCTGAACTTGCACATCCATACAGGTAAGGATGCAAACCCTTGGACAACAGACCTATAAAATCTGTTTGCCTGAATTCAGACGTATTTCAGCTTTCTTTGCGCATTTTCAGGCTTGAGCATTTTTTATATAGGCAATGGAAAGCTAGTTACTAGGAAGAGAAGATGGATGTTAGGCACATAATCACACAAAAAAAGATGTGATGAGTTCCAGTTGCTCCTTTCGAAGTCTATGGGGCCAAAAATGCAACATTCTGCCAAAAAGAAGCTTACATACTTTTCAAGCAACAAGAGACAGGCGACACAACCCTCTAGTGTGAACAGGCACCATTGAAAATAATGGGATTCTTCATGTTGCACATTGTCGCAGTTCAGGAAACGCGCAGCAAAATTCTCAGGTGTGAATAGGGGCTTACTCATAGGGTTCGTTATCAGCTATGGTCTCCAAGTAGGTGCAAAGGGTCAATAAAGGAACTAGGAAAGCGCTTGATTAAAAACATCAGTGTGACTTATACAATATGATTGGGTAGCACAGTTGTTCCTTGGGTACATTTGTTGACAAAAATTTTAATAAAAAGTTATTATTTTGGCACATTAGGAATACAGATGGATTTTGGCATAGCAAGAGGGTATTGTACATGAAATATGTCTCCTGTGCTAATGTTACCTAATGTTCCTCACAATTTCACTGGTGTTTCAAGAAGAACATGTCAGTGTCTTCCACCACCTTAAAAAATACAGCCTCCCCTGCCTTCTATAAAAACCAACCAAGAATGTGCAGAGTAGGGCAGGGTTATCTACAGCTTATTCCAACTTTGTCAAGAGACATGACTACAACAATAACAACAATTTTAACAACGAATGTTACCTGGCAAAAAATGATGCAGCCACTGAAGTTGCGGTGGATGTTTCGCTTGTAACGTATGTTGTGTTTGATGCAGGAAAACTGTATATGGAAGGTTTATCAGCGTTGTAGCGGTTCAATGCTGCCTCTGTTAGCCCCTCGCGGGCAGTCTCAGTCATCAGTTGGGAGATCTAGGGAGAGAAATACAGACATATTACAATCCTCTGTTGCTTCCACTTCTGTGCCTAATGGGTATGACATTATATGGGACAATAATTGTGTATTTCACTCTAAACCAATCAACGTTTATAGAAAATGGGGAGTTGCCAAATCAAAGATTTGTTCACATTTAGGCCAGGTGCACAAGTTGGCGATCCCAGAACCGCGCGTTCCTGTGCGGTTGCACACAGCATTTGCCACGCAGCCCCATTGATTATCAATGGGGCTATATCCGCGTGGAAATTGCTGAAAAAAGGTACATGTACCTTTTTTTGCGACGCACACTGCACGTTTTTTCCAGCCGCGATCAGGCGTTATTGTACAGGTGGAATCACGGCGGGAAACTGTGCAATCTGCATGGCGTGACTGGGGTGCCATTAGAAAAGAATGGCACCGCAATCAACGGTGGTGTGCAATTCTGTGACCATGCAGCGATCCGCACGGTTTTGTGCTCAATTGCTGCGCGGTCATGCATCGCCTAAGTGTGAACCTGGCCTCAAATGTATCCAGCAAAGGCTGGGAATGTCCAATTGAATCTAAACTATTATAATTCCACAGATAAGTACAGGAGTAATTCAACCTTGAATATATGATGATTGAAATCCATTAGAAATATTGGAATACATTTTAAACTGCAATTTAGTAAAAACTTCAAACCAGGAGTGTCACTGAAAAAGGATAAGAGGTGATATCTTCCAATGAACACATCTGTTGTAGTGACAACTGCCACAGGATTAATTTCCTCTCATTTAAACCAGTGACAAAGGTTCTAACCCTTTTACAATTCATCCAAAACGAAACAAAAATTTGACTGAGGGGTTAAGGAACATTAAACTCTCTCGAATTTTATTCAATAAATATACACTGCCCTTAAGATTTGTTTCCAAAACCCTTTAAGTTTTCATGTCCAAGCAGCTGGCCCCAACTCTCTCAGCTGAGCTTCCCTGAACTTCCTGTCCAGTACAAGATCACAAGAGACATTGCAGTCTACAGTAGCTATCTATCTACTAGCTTGGAGAAGGGAGGAGGAAGGAGGGGAGAGCAGGGGAGAGGCTTGCCTTGCAGAGCCTGTATGTTTGTGGACACACACAGCAGTATACTTGCACACACAAAGGCAGCCCCATAGGACCCTGCAAGGTAATGGAGCCACCCTAAAACGGGTGATTAGTGCCAGTGCCCAGGGCAACAGCTGATTCTGCAGGAAACTAAAACTTTTAAACATCAAGGAACAGCATCCATTTTAAGTGATTTCATCAGCATTTTAAATAGCTTAGAAACCTTTTATAAGTTTTATTATAACTTTAATTTGAATGATGTAAATGTGATTTTCATTACAAAAGCATTGTACACATTTGTTGGTACCCCTACAGCTCAATGAAACAATGCTTCAATCCTCCTGAAAAGTGGGGAAATCAAAAGCAATTGTCTCATGTACTGTATGCCTGCATGCCTCTGTTATGTCAGAGTAAAGCAAAGAGTGAAAAAAATAGTTACATTATTGTTTATTATACAAAGATATTCCAAAATGGCTGTGGTGGGCGGCTCTGTGACGGCAATCCGTGCGGTTTTGTGCACGATTACTGCACAGTCAGGAGTCTCCCAGGTGTGAACCTAGCCTAAAGGCCCATGTGAATGTAGCTTACACACACCACCACACTCATCCCAGTGGGGGAAAGTTTATGGCCAGTGTTTATCCCCTATATACTGCATATACAGACCTACCATACCAACAGCTTATCTTATATAAGTCCACAGTCTAAGTGGTGTTTAATTGTGTAAGACAATCAAGACGTTCTTTTTCAAACCAGACCTCCAGACAAAAATAACAATTCACAGCTAATTAAAAGATATAAAAAGGCAGCTTTAATTGCAATATTCACTTTTAATCAAGATCTCTCATACTTCCTTTCTGCCACAAAATGCCCTCAGTGATGACCAGAACATGAATGGATGAGCTGATTCTGCTTCTTATTTCTCTCACACTCCAACCCTGCTGAAAAGGGACCTTAATAAGCCCAGCCCAAAATCAAATATATATATACTGCTTGTGCTGCAAAAATTACATTTATTGACATATAAATGATTACAGAGCTGCAATAATTTGTGTATTTAAAGTCATACATTTCTGATAACTGGTCCTGCAATTGTGTTCACTGTGAAACTCCAGGGAACAGCTAAATGCACAGTTGAAATACAAATATGTGTCTTGTGATCTATGCACTCCTGCTGCTAACCAATACAACTGACAGAGTAAAGCAGCAGAGTCTGACTGTCTGGCTCAGAGTGCCGCCCCTCCCTCTCTCCTGTTCAAAGGATTACAGGAGGCTGATATTGAGGCATATTCAAGTCATCTAGTTTTCAGTAAAAGAACAATTTATTAGCTGTTAATGAGTGCATACCTGGACTGAACTGTGTTTGGTATTGTCCTGGACTCAAACTATGCGACAACTAAATTTTTATGGCGACTAATGTTTTAAGGTTCTGCATTTATTTGATTAAGTTAAAGTATAAAACGTAAAGAAGAACTCCGGGAAAACATTTTATTCAGCCTACTGTAACTAGCTTTTGGAAGTATTAAAAATCTGTGCTTACTTTTCTACATAGCAGCATGGTCTTCCTGAAATCCATGGTACAAGCCCGTGCTTCCTGCCCTCTGCCCCCCTCATTTCCTTTCTCTTAGACCACTAGCCACTGTGCAGTCTATCAGCCTAGCCTGTGGTCTAATAACCTCCTCCTTGTAGTTCTATTGCAAGCAGCAGGAAGTGATCACGTCCCAGCACACACTGCAGGGGGTGGAATAGGGAAGCCTTAGGCCTGGTTCACACCTGGGCGTTTTACAGCGCGTTCCTACGCTCTGTAAAACGCTCAACATGTGAAAACCAATGATTGCCTATGGGCATGGTTCCCACCTGGGCGTTTTACAGCGCGTAGGAACGCGCTGCAAAACGCCCTACGCCCAAAGAAGTACAGGAACTTCTTTGGGGCGTATTTGCAGCGTGTATCCATTGGGATACAGCCAGGTAGCCCTCAGAAACACGCGTGTGACGAATCGCGGTAAAAACAAGCGGCACGGAACGCGCGACAAACGTGCATATTTGATACGCCTAGGTGTGAACCCAGCTTTAGACTGCTGGTCTGACCCTGCCCACTCACAGTGCAGAGCTCCCTGTTGTTGCACCTCCTTCCCTGACACTGGACAGGGCTGGGACTCTGTGTAAAGTCACACTGTTCTTCCACACTAGTGATGGGAAGTTCTGATCATTTACATGAATCGATTCATCAATTCACATGCTGAGTCTGCTGATAGGATGACTTCGAAGCAGAGGAATTGGTCATTCAGAGAAACCTATAATATGTGTGTGCAGTCAGAAAAAAAAAAACCTAAAGTCACTGGAGCATACAACACTTTGTAGCTCTTCCCATCTCCACCCTCAGCTCTGCCTATACACGCCTCCCATTTCCTCTATTTTGCAATGGCTCATGGGAGCTCTAGTTCACTTTCTCTGCCAGGATATGACACACACTGGTTACCTAGATCCTCCCCCTGGCTGCAGGAAGGACTGATCGGTACATAGAAGGATGTAACATCACTGGCAGCTAAAAACGAGAATTAGAAGAAAGATAAATGGCTGCAGCAGCTTGCTTCCTCTGACTGAGAGGGACCTAAACATATAAAGGGACGTGAATCCCAGCGTTCTTCTTTATAGAGAATTCCCACTCTGTAGCCAGATTAGGATAGCACCTACCTTTTATTTGTTACATGTTCCCATAGCATAAATAGAAAATAAGGCTTCTTGCAGTTTATTTTGTTTTTTTCTTGATAAAACTTTCTTCTCTTTCTTTGTAATGCTAGGAGGGATTGTGAAGGGTTTCTGTTAACCCTGTCTGTACTGTGCTGGCTTGTTTCTTTATCATTTCTAAAGTAGATTTCAATACTCCCTGTTCTATCAAAGGGTTAAAGGACAACCCTGGCTTGTATTACATTGCTTCATTGAATGTTAATGAGAAACACATTCCACACAATTCTATCCTTAATCTTTCTATAAGGAGAGATCACTGTGAAGGTGCTCAGAAAAACCTGGATTCAACTATTTTGCCTGCTGCAACAAAAACATCTAAAAAGGCAAGAAATATTTTCTAAGATTTGATTGCATAAGTGGAACTACAGTTTAAGTTTAAAACACAAAACAAGGACACATGTCTGTTTATGATCAAATTACTCTAATTAAGACAATTTATCAACCAAAAAATGGTGCCCATTAATTGACTGTCCAGCTACATTTAAAAAGTCTGATTTACAAGCATATATAAATTAATCAGAAGAAGTGATTAAAAAATCTTTCAAAATATTTAGGGGTCTATTCACGAAGCTGCCGAAGGATCTAGCCGTATCTTCGGCCGATCCTTCGGCTAGCTTCGGCCCCAGAACCCCTTCGGTTCAGTAGAACCGAAGGGGTGCTGTACGGGCTATTCACAATAGCCCGTACAGCTCCCGAACTTGGCCGAGCAGCTCAGTCGTGCCGAACGCATATGCCTCGGCTCGGCAGAGCCGCGCTGAAACCCGAAGCTGGCCGATAGCCTGCTTCTGACCTAAAAGCAATGTTTCTCTCCTTGGCGGCCGGGAGCAGGAGACTCCCGGAGCGGCCGGGAGAGTTAGGCTTTTTTTTTTCGCTTTTTTTGACGGCAGCAGAACCGCCGGCCAATAGAAAACTGTTGGTGCGGAGCTAGTTGTCATTGCTAGCTCCGCACAATCGTTTTCTATTTTTATTTTTCTACTTTTTTAAATGTTTTTCTGTTCTTTTTAAAATGTGATTTATTAGCATAGGCAGAAGCAGTAAATATTGAAAAATCTTCTAAATTTTTTTTTTAAATCTGATTTATTAGAAGATGTTAAGCAGAAGCAGTAAATATTGAAGAATATTCAAAGAAATCTGATGAATTAAAATATGTTATGCAGAAGCAGTGATTATTA